AACACGTTCTAGAGTTTGGTGTATAATGGACCGATATCTGTTTTCGACCGTGATTTCCAAATGTTGACCGTGGGGAGTGCAGCGCACATATGCTTAGTAAGCTTTATGCCGTCAAATGCACACACACATCTTTCACGTTAGGAGCCGTTCATTCAGCAGAAGCTTTCGCTTTTACCCTTTTCTACCAATCACATCAGAGCAATTAGTTGCTTCCACACATTAAATTTTGTTCTCCTAGTTATAAGTATAGTAAAGCACTTCAAAGATAGAAATTCCAAAAAAAACAATAAACCACTTTATTGAAAAATACGGAACATCAAATGCCTATAAAAAGGAAATTACCCTGTTCTCATCTAACTATTTGCATTTGAATTTTTGCGCTGCAGAATGGTGGAACTCTGCTAAGGATAACCTGCAATGGCCTCACACCTGTCGAACAAATGACGGTGGTGTGGTCAGGTGCGAACGGCCCGGCTGATCAAATTACTCCCACAGAAGGTTTGCAAACGCCGCATGAAACATACTTGTGCTTCCATCGGATTGGTTCACACGGACATCACTGAAAATAGCAATGGAAGTTATCGCGAGTCTCACGACACAGTCACCGCTCAAGAATCGCAGTTAAACACCAGATTTCACCGATAAGTTCGATGCGAGGCAAGCGGGAGAAATATTTGTAGGAAGAGATCCAAGTTTAGCTACATGCAAATCTTTGTTTCCACGCAGTTGCTAACGGAAACGATGTGACCTGAAAGTATCCAAATAAAAGATTATCCAACATTGGTACATGCGCCTGACGGAAAAAGCGTGTCTAGCGCCCATTCGCTTTGAAAACTGAAGGATCGTTTTCGTGTAGGCTGAATTGGACATTTTGTTAGGGTTACTGTTTCCCCGTTTGGGAAGTAATTTGTTGAAATTCAAAATATCTATATCGGTCAGCCCTGTTGCCCGCAGAAACACAACAACGGCCCAAACAGAAAGAAGCTTCATTTGCTTCTTTTCTTTGCGCCACGACACCGTGAGCGACACCTGATATCATGCATACAATCGTGAGCAGTTACGTGAGACTGAGGGCGCGTTGTGCACAAATTAACTGGCTCTTGGTATACCGAATATCAGTAGAGACGGCCTCGATTTTCTGCAATTGGAAGTATGATTCCATATACTTCATAATGACCAACGACGTGTGCCGAAAAGTGAATCGGTCGTGGTCGGCGAATACCGTATCGCGGTAAGTATGACGGAAATTAACAAGGATCTTATCTGCACGTACTCCAAAGAAGCGACGACAAACGCCAGATAAAAACATCAGTGCGTTTTGCAATGAAGACAAGTTTCTTAGAAATATTGAGTTCCACTAGCTCTGCAAGAGCTCTTCGTTAACTCTCGCAGCATGCGCGATAGATGCCCTGAGCGTGGATCCACTGCATCACTCTGTTATGTTATGGTTGAGCAACCAATTGAAGCATACATCAGGCAGCCCTAATTGTGGATACGAATTGCACGCTTGCAGTGATGGCACAGCTTTGCGAAGAGCAGCTGCGACTTAGTTTTATCCTCTGAAAACCAAACAAGCTAATCACTGGGTTCGTGTATAGCGGCAGCCTCATTCCACGACGCTTGTAAGTTACCGGAAAGTAGACGCATGTGAAGCGATTCATGCGAAAGCATGCTCGCCAAATGATCTTCCATTGAGAGACATCGGTGGACTGAGCATTTTGGCAAATGTTGAATAGCCAAGTTAGTTATATAACATTTTTCGATCCTCGATTATAATAGCACAAACAAAATTCCACACATTTAAACGTGTAGGGAATGCAGATTTCATCTTTAGGCATTCTGCCAAATGAACACTTTATGTATAGACTAAAGTGTTCGGACCCCACAACCTATGTTCTGCGAATGGCTCGTATGGAACCACCTGTGCAAAAAACGCAGGCCCGTTCAACTGAGGGTGAACTATCCAGGAGTTGGTATCTAAGCGCAGACACTGCACTTGTGCCCAAAGTGATGGTAACGATGTGGAGTGTGGAAATGGTAAGTACTAGTTTAATGACTTACAAAGCTGAGTCAGTCGGTGATGATAATTACAATGTTATACTATAGACATATGCTTGCAGCGAATAAATTTAGCAGGTCTATGTAACTTTACCAAAGAATCTGCTCGCGTGATGCAAGTCCACAAGTCGAGTGAAAGTAGAAGCTTTACTATAGATGAAGCAAAAAAGCGGTATTTACCCTCTGGTAGAGCAACAAGTCGAGGGAAAGATAGAAAACCGCCCGCTCTGATGCATGCATTTTTCGTAGTGAACTGGATGTGCAAAGCTACCGACCACTATGCAGATTTCGGAATCGTGGCACAGAGTTATGACTCCCAGGACACGCGCTTCAATAATGGGCCAGGATAAAGGTGATTGAGATCAGCTGTGTCGACGGATGTGTACAAGCTAAGAAAAACGACAATGGTGACCTATCTGTATGTAAGACACTGCTTCAACACCTGGATTAGCGCAAGCAGTGCACCTTCTGCCACGATTGAATACCGTATGATTTTCAGTAAGTTCATTTCAACGAGTACCGGAGAGTTCCCACATAGACACGAAAGTGGGGAGTTTGCAGACCATTAGAAAAAGGCAAATGCTCTAGTGATTTCCAAGAAAGCCCGATGACTCTCCCAAAAGGATGAGTTATCAGTCGACAGTCTTCAATCTAAAGGTCGCTCAACAATGTTCTACAAAAGACTGAAGAGTGACCAAGACAACAATTAACGACTAACCACCACCATTTAGTGAAGATGACAGGGTAGAATATCGGGTCCAGGCTCCCCGTTCCACTACGACTACGACTACTACGACTACGACTACTACGACTACGACTACTACGACTACTACGACTACGACTACTACGACTACGACTACTACGACTACGACTACTACGACTACGACTACTACGACTACGACTACTACGACTACGACTACTACGACTACGACTACGACTACTACGACTACGACTACTACGACTACTACGACTACGACTACTACGACTACGACTACTACTACTACGACTACGACTACTACGACTACTACTACTACGACTACGACTACTACGACTACGACTACTACGACTACGACTACGACTACTACTACTACTACTACTACGAAGGAGACTCCAAACTACTGACGCTCCGGTCCATCTGCAGAATCGTAATCTGTTATCATTATAAAGTGCTACGGCCACTGAAACTGATTGCCAACTAAATTCCCTTCCGTTATTAGAACAAACTGATGGAAGCTTCGATATACCATCCCCTATTCAGGCCCCCAGGCTAGAAGAACAAACCACAACCAAAGGCTTCGACATTGTGCAATGGAGACGAGTTCAATCAGCTCATACATCGCGCTCCCTAATGACAGCCGACGTTCCATCCCATAGTGCTGTTGGAATGAGAATGAGCTCATGAGACTGATGCGCGAACACAACACAGCACTCGGTGAAGTCGGAAGAATAAGCGCAATATGGCCGCGCACCAGTGTGCAAATGGAGTGGAGGTAGGCACTTTTGCTTAATTGACAATCTTGAAGCGACATGCACAACCTGCATCTGAAGGCGATATCCATGCCATGAGCTCGGGATAGCGTGTCCTTTTATGGGTGTCAAGTGATAGAATACCGAAGCTTGCTCATCGACGCTGTGTAACTGAGGTGAGTGTGATTGTCGGCATAAATTAAACAAATAGATCTCCATTATCAGCATGACATGCGTTTGCTCAAAAACAGCGTCAGGTGATGTTCGGGGTCCAATGAGTGGCCACCATCCGGGCCGCCAAAATTATTACATTAGCATTGCTCATCACACAGAGAGAGGATCAAGGTGATGATAGAATTCGACTGTCACAGACTCAAAGTAGCATTCGGTATGGGTTGTTGTTGGGGGTAATGCTTACGACTGGTGTAAACTGACATGTGTGAATATGCCATACTGCCTAGCCAGAGCGACCAATAACACAACAACCACAGTATACCAGTGAAAGTGGCAGTATAGCACCCGAACGCTTCGGATATTGGTCCACAAGTGTGGATGATAACGACGTTCGCATCCAATATGCCAAGTAGATATTTCAATTCTCTCAATTACTAAAAAGTTAGAATATTTGCAAAGGAGTGGTGCCATAGTACAAGTGGGAAGTTTGGGACTCAGTGGCTATCAGTCGAGCAAGTCCTCGCCCGCGTCACACAATCCCGAGGAGACAAACTGATAACAATGTCAAACCTGTGCGAGCTGAAAGCTATGTATTCAATACGCAAAGTGAGGGTCCTAGATGAACAAATGGACGGTGGATGAGTGATATAATCGCGACTGACAGTTCTTTCCAAGACACATATTTGGGACCAGAAGGTCGGTTGTGCAAGCCAATCGCGCTGGCATATTTTGATCAACCCTTCATCCCCCCCTCATGAAGTGTAGTCTCCACAATCACCGTGTGTCAGCGCTGAAGAAACCATAATGGGGATCTTATCGTTTGTGGCTGCCAAGCAAACACAGTTGAAGAACGAATACATCTGCGAAATATGCACCAGTAGTGTGTGTGTGTGTGTGTCTATAAATGATCCATCGTGCCAACAACGTTACCCGTTTATTATATGGATAACGATAATAGCGAAATGCGCCGTATGCAGAATCGCAACATTAGGAAAATGGCACGAACACCGGGGTGTTTCGATTTTCTAATGGACTTAGCAACACTGTAGGCCGCTAGAAACATCCGAGTGGACAACAAGACTTCCCCGCACATTACGAATGGATCAAAAAGGAAAGTAGTGAGGCCACTATCGGCTTATTTAGTCAGTGGAATGAAAAGTCGTTAAAGAAATAGTGATTCCGCAATAATCAAACTGTCCGAGAATAAGCGTTGTGGCATAGAACAATACGCAGATACAGTTCAGGAGGAAACAGAATGGCCACCTAACATTGCGAAGCAAATGCAGCAAAGGGTTGCTCACCTATAAATACCCTCAACCACAACCAGAATCTTGTTGTACGGTCTGTGTGTCTTCGGTTGGCCATAGACGACCGCTTCCTCTAGAAGACGTTCCAAGTCTTCCATATCATTATGCTTGAATCGCCGAATCACCGATCCACTGAGACGACAGCCCAGCACGAGGCTTGTGTGATTTAGTTCGTCACTAATGACACAAGAATTCTGCAACAGAGGCAAGGAGAAGGCAACACGATCAGGTCTGTTTGGTAAACATCGACTGATAGTAAGAAACCCTACTGGGTAGTAGCCGTTTCGGCAGGATCAAAGATCCATTGTGTGGTGACCAACGGCCGGTGTGATGTTCGAAACACGGTTTCAATCACAGCAAAAACCAAACAGGTTTTCACGAACATAAAAACAGGTGGCGACTACACAGTCCACATAGGCGGATTACAAGTAACTGTCGTGGCAGCGTGGCGGCATAAAAACCACTTTCATTAGACTAGCTCCAACTAATTGGGAAACAGAGGGCTGGAGTTTGCAAACGACGAACGAAACGAGTAGCTGCAGACACACAAAGTGCACCAGACAAAACAATATCATAGGTACTGGTAGCGTATAGTAGGATGTAGTGCGACCGGAAGGATATCCATTTGAGATGCTATAAGTCACCACTAAAATGAATGCTCCACTATGGACAGGCTACTCATACATAGCTGCTGTGCCATGAGAAAATGCAAGGAAACAGTGACAAACAATGACTCAGCAAAGGAAATGAAACAATTGTGATAATATGATGGATGCTAGTGATATGTTAGATAGTGGTGGTGACGGAAGCACAAAATCAGGTATAGACCCAAGAAATTCGTCACCAAAGTGAGCCCGCAGGGCCTTCAAATCCTCAGGTAGTCCGACAGCTATGATGGATCTGATGGCGCAGACCAGAAAGCTAGAGCGCTTTTCTCTAGGGAATACAAGCAACCTAGACAAACAGCGCTCAGAGAGTGGAAAGCATTCTGCGTGGAAGCAGGAATATGTATCAGTCTCAAATTCGACCGCATTCAGTGGGTCAAACTACAAGAATCAACGGCACGGCTCTCCAGATGTCAAAAATACGAAGCTGTGTCCATACAGTGATAACATGGCATTCCCGTAAGTCAGACTGTGAATGCACTAGTCGCGAAACATGTACCGCCCAAGTAAACCGAACAATAATTTCAAAGTGTCAAGATTACCGGGGACACAATCACGACTGTGATCGCACCTGACAGTTGGGAAAAACTCCACGATAACTCTAAAACATCCATACTCCGTAATTGTATGTGAGCCAAGGCGATAAGTCATCAGATGTACGCCGGTACGATGCAGCGCAACCACCACCGGTCGCACGTCGGCTGAGGATACTGCGAGGGTCGCGCTGCCACTACGCAGGCTCGAACCCGCGCCGCGAAATTACGAGACAAACTCATTACCTCTAGCCTACGGGCCCAGGCGATACTCAGCATCGGCGGTGCACTTCAAAGTCAAGTGCCAGAACGGTCGAATTCACGTCTTGGAACCGGACATCCAGCTGCAAATGTGTACGTGATCAAATGGGCACAGCATTCATGAAGCCAAAATTGTAAGAAAACACAGTAAATAAGGCCAATTCATTCTTCTCCGGACAATCACAAAGTCATCGCCCAAAAATCGTGGTCTACGTTTTGCCAAGGAAACATCGACGGAGTTTCAGTAGCGGAAAATGCAGCAAAATAAACCGGCTGCAGTGGTTCGACACGCTTAGTTTCCCTTCACTTGATAATGGTGATTTCAGGTAGTCTACTTCAAGTAAGGGGATTGGATTACTAAGTGGGAAGGACCGTTTATCATCCCTAGAAATTAAACCTGATGTACATCATTGTAAACAAGAAACAACGGGGAATCCCACCGCCAACTACATCGTCATATAGCAATACTATTCGGCGACTGGTATCATGTCGCTATGCCGAGAACTAGTGGGTTTTGCGTGAGTCAAACTTTTGAGGATTGAACTCACAAAGTAGTACCTCACACCGCTACTTGTTTCGCTGCGTCTGTGGTAACAGGTACAGTGGCCGAACCGAGATAAAGCTGTATCATGGTCGTCAACATCATCAACAGCAGCAGAACACCAGTACGTTCCAACCATACTTCGTTGCCAAGAACCATTAGGCAGTGGAGACAGCCATGTTGATCAACTGTGTGAATGAGAATTAAAGGGCCACTAACGCAGAACTTAAACGTATTAGGCAAACATTCATGTCCATTGCACTTCGTCCGGCGCAGACCTTGGAGCCCAAAAACTGAGTGTGGTGTGTCTTCATATCAGACTCATCTGTATATCAAATTCAGAATAAATAATAATAATAATAATATCAAATTCAGAGACACACACGACAGGTAGTCAGGCTACAAATGATATCTCTCGGATATCTCTCACATATCGCAGTGTCAGAGTATGCATACAGTGTCGCACAGAGCTCAACCTTGAAGGCGGAACGGACCTATAACACCCAAAGAATTCAATTCCCTCCGACAGGTTGGTGGTTGGCTGCTTCGGACGGTCTAGTGACCGGTAAACAACTCAATGCGTTTCTTGAAAGTAGCGATTTAGTACACGCACCATGTACAGAACTGGCTGTCTCGCAAAAGTACAGTGCACTTCAAAGATATTAAACGAAAGCCAAATTACGGGATTAAAGTAGGCCGGCGGAGTTCGTTTGTGTCAACTCGCACATGGCAGAAGAACCAGCTTTCCGACTGGCAGAAACTGAATGCCTGTGACATTAGATTCCAGGCGAAAATCTGACATACTGTGGTGTAATCTTAAGTTGAATAGGAATGGGGAAATAAAAGAGCAATGACAAACGCGAATTTTGTCCGAAAGACGTACGACGATCAATAACAGACTGTGGTACGAGTATTTGAGGAAGGCCGCATAAGGTGCTCAGAGGGTTTATGGGAAAAGTATGTCATATAGGATGTGATGATTAAATAGATGGAATACGCGCTTGGCATCAATAGATCCAAGATATCGTCGGTCTATGGCATATGTGAGGTTGCACAGTGAAGATAAGATACAGAGAATCCGTCTTATTTGGAAGCCTGCCAATTTCCTCTCATTTGAGATTCCCGCTCCGCAGTGAAGCGACGTATGGGAATGGATATGGCTGTTGAATTGTTCGCTGAGCTTGGCAATTTTGTTGCAAACGTTTCGTTACCAATCGAGGTGACATCATCAGTGCGTAGTTGAGCGGCACGCACTAGCGTAGAGTAGCGTAGAGGAGCCTCAGTGAGAGTGCGCTGAGCGTGGTGTGCGTGCGCTTTTATACCACCGTGGTTGGCCGTGGAGCCGAGCAATCCTATTGGTTGGGACTTCACTCCGCGTTCAGCTTGGTTGATGGGCAGATGACTTTTGACCTCACCTTCTTGTGTGTCGTGGCCTTTGTCTGCTTGCTCCTGCGAGCGAGTTTGCCATCAGTTCTGTTGGTCTAGTCACACGTTCCACCGGATGCAATCAATCGAGTTGGCGGTCGTTCCTCAGTAGTGTGGCGTATACTGCGTCCAATTCGATGTGTCGATTGATTGAATGCGTTGTAGAGTACCAAACTTCCAAAAACTCCCTCGCGTGTTTTGTACTTCCATGGGCTAGGATCTTTACGTTCTCCAGATCGAAATGGTGGCCTTTTTGATCTTCATGCGCAGAAACCAATGAGTGTGTATCATGCCTTCTGACGGCTGCCCTGTGTTCAGTGATTCGTGTACAAAGTTTTCTTCCAGTTTGTCCGACGTAGTTTTATCGCAGTCGCTGCATTTGATCTGGTAGATGACATTGTATTGGTCGGCTTGATTGATTTTTCATTTGGATCTTGAGATCAATTTCCTTAGAGTGGCACTTTGTTTGTGCGCCACAGAGATTCCATGTGATTGCAGCAATCTTCCTATTAGTTCGGAGACGTTCTTGATGTAGGGAAACACTAACCGTTGGTTTGCTTGATCTGATGACTGCTGCTGTTGCTGAGGCATTCGTTTCTTTAAGCTTCTTCTGATGAATTCTCACGGATAACCGTTCTTTCTAAACACTCGATATAGGTGATTTTCTTCCTGTTTCCGAGATTCGGCTGTGCAGCAGTTCGTTTCCACTCTTTTGGACAGGGTTTGAATGTAGCTCTTCTTGCGGTTCATCGGGTGGTTGCTGTGGTATTTTAATATCTGGTCCGTATGCGTTTGCTTCCGATACACGCACGTTTCGATAGATCCGTCTCTATTCCTAGAGACCAGTACATCCAAAAATGGTAGCTTGTTATCCTCCTCTAATTCAATCGTAAATTTTATATCCTCGAATGTGCTGTTGAGCAAAGCATGCGTGACCTGTACTCTGTTCCGTTTTACGATGACAAACGTGTCGTCTACGTATCGTATCCAGAGTTTTGGGCTGATAGATGGCAGTGCAATGCGCTCCAATTTCTGCATTACGGCTTCTGCAATCAGCCCCGAAATTGGTGATCCCATGGGGGTTCCTCTCAGTTGCTGGTACACTTGTCCATCAAAGCGGAAATAAGTGGTCATGCAGAGGTTCAGGAGTTCCCAAAAGCTTTCAGGTCGTATGGTTGTCGTGGGGCTTAGTTGATTCTCAAGCAGTTCCAACATGGTTTCTTTGGCCAATTCGTGACCGATTGAAGTGAAGAGTGCGGTGACATCGAATGAAAGCATTATTTCGTCGTCTTCTATTCGGACACTTCGCAGTTTGTTGAGGAATTGTTCAGCATTGTTGGTGCTATAATCGGATTCGGCAACCAAATGTTTCAACCTCCTCCATAAATCCTTCGCTAGTTTATATGATGGGGTTCCGGGGAGCGAGACGATTAGTCGTAGTGGGACTCCAGCATTGTGTACTTTTGGTAGTCCATAAAACAGTGCAATGTCTGTATCATTAGCTGTCATTCTCCATCTCTCTGTGGCGGTGAGCTCGTTCTTTGTTTGTAGTTTCTTCAGCGTTGCGTTGATCTGGTTAACCAGTTTTGAACTTGAATCTTGATCGATCTGGCGATATGTAGTTGTGTCTGATAGCAGTTTTTTGGCCTTGTTAAGATACTCTGGCTTGTCCATTATCACTGTCATGCGTCCTTTATCTGCTGGTAGGATTACAATATTCTCGTCTTTCTGTAGACGTCTGAGTGCATCCTGTTCCTCCTTGGTTAGGG